CTTATCTATCTATCTACCGTGGGGACACAGTCACCAAGTCACTGACTTAGTGACGCCACGCCACCACCTCAAGCGTGGTGGTGGTTGGTGGTACCAAATACGTGCGCAACGCGCGCAGCGGCAGCTGAAATACGTGGCGATGTATGGTTGGCTGCATCGGGTTTCAAACCTGAACCAAGCCCGCATCCAGCGTTGTGTAAGAGGCGCAAAATCAGCCAAGTTGCAGCTCGCTGCTAGCAGCGCAGCAAATGATTCTGCCTGCAGACCGTCTACAGCGGTGCGTTGCCGCACCGTGACAGCACGCTGCCGCCATTTCTTGCCGCACAAAAGGCACAGCCGGCGCCCAGCATTTAGTAAGGGCGCAAAAGCCTCGCATTCTTGAGGAGGAGAGCGCTCGCCATCACTGCCATTGCAGGGGCCGACAAAATGGCAGTGTTGTTGCTTGAGAACAGGTTGCAAGCGCGGCAGGGGCCGCACCCCGTGTCGCCATCGAAGAGGGGCAGGTGGCCAAAAAAAGGGGAGCTAGGAGCAAGCCTTGGCTGATGTGTGCTGACTCGTAGCGGATTTTGCCGTGCGACACTTGAGCAGCTGCTGAGCACGTTGACGACGGCAGAAATTCGCGAAACTTTCTAATTGCAGCGCGCCATGGCCCCCGTGCTGCTCTCCAATCTTAGGAGAGTCTCAAGCACTTGAGCTGGACCCAGGGCCTGCCAGCGAGGGTGCCGGCGAGCTGCCTCGGCTGACGGACTGCACGCTGCTTTCCTCGCGGCGGCCGTCCCCCCCGTCGGGGCAGCCGGGGCCGTGCAGGCTCTCGCCAATGCCCACCAGCTTCAAAAAGGTGTCCCAAAAGCCGCCGAAGAACCTGGCGACAGATTGAAAGAGCAAATATGGGGCAGTGAGGCGGGTCCTGCAATTGCACACTGACGTCTGAGGTGCCGCCGACCCTTGCTTCCGCGCGCTACTTGCAGCAATGCAGCTCAGATCGCGAGGGCCTTCAAAACAGCTGTGATTGCTGCGGGCATTGCACCAGCGAAGTATTTCAGCACAGCTGTGCTGCACCGCAGCTCTGTGCATAGTCAAGCCTGACGTGCACTCAAGGACAAGGAAGCGCGGCGCTTGGCTCTCACCCCACAAACTGGAACATGATCCAGCTGTCAAGCAGCAGCCTGATTCCTGGGCGGCCCGTGGGCAGGGCGCAGTACACGTGAGTCATCGTGACACTGGGGTCGCGGTATGCGTCTCCCACCACGCCGCCACCATACCTGCGCGGGATTCAGCGAGGCAGCACAGGCTCGTTTCAGGGGGGCTGGGTGCTGCTGCGTGCGTGGTGTTGATGTGAGAATGCCCAGCTGGGCAACAGGCAAAGAAGTCCATCGGTGCTTCTGGCAGATCATGTGTTGACCCAACGCAAGCGCTCATAAGCCTGCCAACGGTCTGACAGCTGCAAAGGTTGGCCCACTATAGTATCTTTGAACCCCGTATCTTGCCATCACAATGCTCTAGACCCTTCCCCTGCACCACTTGGACCGTGTGCAAGTCCTCGACGCACCCACCCTCCCACAAGGCCCTAGGAGACCCTCCAAATTCCAAGAGACATCCACGCACCTGGCCTTCGAGAAGGCGAGGTTTTGGAACTGGTAGAGGTTGTTGCCGTGATCAAACAGGAACGTCAGGGCCACGTGGGCCAACATCGAGCCGTGGAAAGGCAACCTCTGAAGGTTGAAGAAGGGGCTGAAGCCGAAGGTCAGCACCTCCTTGCCCTCTGCTTTGACCGCCGCCAGGATCTCCTCATACAGCAGCTTCAGGGTGCCTGGGCAGGGGGTGCAATTGGCAGACGAGCGGGCGTCAGGCCTGGATCTACGAGGCTGGGGGATGCATCCAGTCTGGCCCTGTCAGACCTGCAGAAGTCTTTGAAAGGGGCAGGTGATACACACACGCACATGCAGGTGATTGGTGGCAGCGGCGAAGCAGCCGGCATGGCAACTCAGCAACGCCTGCGCCCATGGCGACCGTGCCCCTCAAAACAAGCCCCGGCTCCCCTCGCTGGCGGCCCCATCATGGCCTGGCGGCCGCCGCTCACCGTGGTGGCCGTCGCGCCGCATGCGGTTGAGCGATGTCGTGTAGCCAAACGCCTCGCCGCCGCGCCATAGCGGGTCCAACAGCACGAATCCCTCAATCCTGCGCTGCATACCCGCTGCCGACGGTGTGTCGCGCTCGGCGAGGAACAGGCGAACGCCGTCCTCCAGCTGGGGGTTTTTGTATTCCAGGTGGCGGATGAAGACTCGCAGCTCCTGGCAGGGCAGACGCGGGGGCCCAACAGCAGGATTGTGCAGCGAAAAATCAGCATTGTGCAAATGTCTGCAGTTGCCTTCCTTCGGGTTGCGCGCAACTGACCCCAGCTGCAACTCTCGTCACTGCGGTGCGAAGCTGGACGCTGCCCCTGATGTAGAGATGGCGCTGTCACTTGGACCACCCTCTGCGCCTCTGATGCACCACGCACGGTTCCGCCACCGACGACCAGCTGGGTCACCCTGCCCACCTGGTCCTTGACGCTCTTCTGCTGCAGCCAGTCACCTGCAAGGTGGGCAGAGGATGACCAACAGGCTACTCAAAATGGTGCCCGGTCCAGAGGACAGCTAGCGCAGCTTGTTGGGAGTTCCAGAAGAAACGTATTTGCATATTGCGGATGGCTGTCAGCGTGCATTGTGCCAGGCAGCAGCCCGTGCCTGCGCACCCAGCCCAGCCAAGCAGCCCAAGGAGCAACGGCTTGAGAACCCCACGCACCCGTCACGTCCGCCAGCTGGCGGCACACGTCTTGAGTCAGGCCCGCCAGCCCCACCTCGCGCACCCGCACGCCCGCGCTGCGCGCGCCGCGCGCCGCCACGCGGATCGTGCGGGTCCGCTTGCTGTAGCCCCAGGCCTGCACCAGGATATTCGTCTCTGCGCCCATGTCGGCGATCGTAAACCCCAGCTGCTCTTGCAGCACGCGCGCGTACGCGGGCCCGACGTGCATAAACGATGCATGCGGCAGCGCGGACTTGAACGCGGCGGCCAGCGCCGGCCAGTCGCGCGGCGCGGCGAGCGGGTCGCCGATGCCGACGGCAATCGCGCGGCCGTAGGCCTTGGCTGTGACGTAGGGCTGGCTGCCCAGGCCGGGCACAAATAGGTGGGTGTACTCCGGATTTATGAGGGTAGAGTTTGAGAGGGCGCCAGCGCCGTAACGGCGGAGGTAGGGGCCGACCAGGCGCCAGGCGTCTGATTTGAGGCCTTTGCGGAGCAGGGTGCGTGGTGAGGGGTGTGAGAGAGCGGGGCGACAGGTGTGGGGGGGCGGGCCGTGATGTGGTCTGCGCATAACATTAACGACAGCTTTCGTAATGCCCCCACAATGTTGAAGGGGATGGACTGGAAATGTATGGCCTTAAAGGGACGCGGTGGCCACGTTGTGGGTTGCACGCAGGGTGTTGAGAGGCAATCGGCCATGTCTGACCCAGTACGCAGCGCCCTCGGGCATGCACAATTGTTCTGGGGACCAGCGGCGCAGCCGCATCAAGCATTGGGCACTTGCCCAACCCTGTCGACCCAGGGGTGTGCGTGCCTCAGCTGGGCTCACCCAGCTCTGCCCATCAACCCCCTCACAAGGATGATGACAAGCTCATGACGACGACAGTTTGCAAGCGCCCCATCGCACCTTTGGAGGGCTCAACAGCAATGCGCAGCGCCGGCGCAGCCTCCCGCGTCTCAGCCTGCACCAGCAGCTCGGCGTGGCAGGGGCACAGGAGGTGCAGCGGCGGCAGCGGCGGCGGCAGCGACGGCAGCAGCTGCTCGGGGGCGCCCTGGTCCTGGCTCTTCCCGCCCTTGAGGCCCGCTAGCGCATCCGCGCCCAGGTCCACGGTGATGTCAGCAACCACTTCATCGTCGGACTCGTGCTGCGCGGAGATGGTCTCGACGGCGCTGCCGGCGCCACCGGTTGGAGGCCCCTCCGGCGCCCGCTGCACCCACGCGGTGCCCGGCTGGGAGGGGTCTGGGGCGCCCAGTGCGCGGCGCAGCAGGTCGGCTGAAAGCGTGTAGCAGGCCATCAGCTGCAATAGATGGGTAAAGTTTCACATGGGTTTGATAGGAGTGGAGGGGCAGCGGGCGGCACACGGTAGGGAGGGCCCAAGTGGCGGCCAACATTGGGTCGCCGCAGTGAGTTGTGAGCGTGGGAGCTGCTTGATGACTTGTGCGCGACATGCGGCACATACCAGCAAGAAGTGGTTCGCAGAGAGCCAAGATCGAGTAAAATCACTCACCGGAAGCACCACCAGCGTGAGGAGCCCGACACAGACGCGCAGGGCCAAGGACCACGCCCGTGACCCCAGTGGTTGCGGCGGCTTCAACATCAGCGTCAACAGCTCAATAAGACGATGATGAGATATGTTTGACACAATCCTGAGCAGCAAGATCGTGATAACGGACAAACTAGGCCGCAGTGAGTGCCGTACGTATCTCTATTCTTACCGTACTATATAGCATATGTATACAACAAGCTCTGTATCCAAATAATTACAGACTGGGACCCTTCAACGACTTTAACTAAGCCCCTGACCCCTTCACAGACCAAGTCACCCGGGGGCGCCTACGGGGCAGCTGCACTGCTGGCAGTGACTCCCGGCAGTAACTCTCAGCTAGGTGTCTGCAGCGGCCCAACATGGTGCCGTAGCATTTCTTCAAGGACGCGATTTATGCGCTCTGTTTGCCCGTCCTCTGGGGGATGAAACGCGGTTGACAGCGAGGCCCGCAACCGAGGGGGTAGGCCCGCTCGCTGCTTGCTGCTGCAGGTGCGCCGAGCGCGGCACGGAGGCTGCAGACGGCACCACTGCACAGCCTGCTGAATTGCCGCAACCCCTCAGCGCGCCGCACGCCGCTTGATCGCGCGAAACGCCGTCTGTAGTCGGAATGACGACAGGAGACTCAGGGGCGGACGGTTCGAGAGAGTGCGGCCGAAGAACTCAAGACCGAACGCATCACGACGGAACCTACCATCTAAGTAATGTTCGCTGGCAATGTGCGACTCCGTGTAGGGCGCGGGACACCACAAAAAGGCCGTGCTTCGCCAACGGGAGCGGGCCGCGCGGCCGCCGCGCCTCGAGCACCACCCGCACGATCGCAGCCAGGCCTACCGCACCGCGTCGATGAAGGGCAGGAGATGGCAATGGCTGGCCATGAAGTAGCAGCAAGGAATGGGCTCTAGACGCCAGGACCAGGGGCCTTGACCTGGGCAGGCGGAAGTGCATTTTTTCCACGAAACGCCCAAACTTTTTGCACAAAACTCCGAGATTTTTTCCTCATTACTCGGATCTCCGTTCTCACTTATCAAGGGCATGCCGCTGCTGCTGCTGCTGCTGCTGCTGTTTGTTGCCTACACAATTGGCTAGGTTCACGGCTGACGACCCCATCAACACACATTACTGGAAATGCAGCCATGCAATCGAAGCAACATGGCCCCTGGGACTGGCAGGCCCCGAAAACGGCAGCCAAAGACGCAACACAACCCACGTGGGAACGAGTGGGGCGCAGTAAGCAGACGCTGGCACTGCTGCGAGGTAACACAAACCCGCCGCGCAAGCCCCCCCTCTATTGTTTTGGCAGCGGCGGTGGCGGCGGGAACCCCGCGCGCGACACCAGCTGCTGCCGCCACGCCGACGCCGCTGCGTACTGCGCCAGCATCTCCGCGTCCTCGTCGTAGTCATCCAGATCAAACTCCTCGTCATCGCCGTCGCTGATGACGCCCGCGCGGCCCGCGCGCCGCCGCCGGCTCCGCCCGCCGCCAAAGCCGCCGTCGGAGCCGTCGCCGCTGCCGTCTTCGGCTTCGGAGTCTGCAATCAGCCCCGGGTGTGCCGGGCCGCCAAAGGCACCGCCTGCCTCCACCTCCTCGCCGCCCTCCTCGGTGTCTTCTCCCAGTCCCTGGGTAAAGAAAGAGGCGGGTGCGGGAGCGCGAGCAGTTGGTCTAATGCTGCGGGGCCCTCAAAGCCTGTTGGGCTGCCGAACCAGGATCTCAACAACCCCAACGCGCTGCAACACGTCACGCACCCCCGAATACGTCATTGCTGTTGTCTGCCCCGGCTCCCTGCATGCAGGCCCCTGGCCCCGCTCCCACGCATGTCACACACACACACGCACACACACACACACACACACACACACTCTCACACACACACTCACACACACAATTGGTCACGCATGACACCTTGCGTCGACGCCCAGCGCCCCACCCGCACCCCCTCACACCTGATCCTCATCAGGGTAGCTGTTGGCGTAGTACGACTCGGCGTTTGAGTCGTCGCTGTCGTGATCTGAATTTACAGGGACAGCGGCAGCATCCAGCCCGTCCTCGTCGTCCCAGTCATCAGACACCTGCCGATCGGCGGCGTCCAATTGAGAGAGGGACACATGTTTGAACCCGAAGGTGGACGCACCAGGAGCTGGGGCGTCCCAGGGTTTTGCAATTTGTAAAGACGGGACTTTGTGAACTGGGTTGGCATGGCCGACCGAGTGTGGTGAATTGGGTCCCCAACAGCCCGAAGGGCCGGTCGGCCAGACGCTCTTCATGCCACCGGCTTTGTAGACGCGATGATTTTGTGAGCGCAGGCTCACCTCAATGATGGGCACGTCGGCCCCCGCCACGCCCCCTTGTGCCCGCCGAGCCCCAGCCGCAGCAGCGCCACCGCCGCCGCTGCCTGCCATTGTCTCGTCGCCCTCCTGGTCCCGCTGGCGACCCGCTGCGTCCTCCGGCGCCGCCGCGTCTGCTGCGCCGCCCTCCTGCTCCTCGCCGGCTGCGATGTACATGTCATACACAAAAGCAGTCGCGGCTGCCTGCTCGTGCGAGCCGGCCACACCACTCCCACTGGCTGCCCACCCGGGCAGCAGCTGCTGCTGCTGCTGCTGCTGCTGCAAGCCCCCTTCAGCTGCCGCTGCAGACCCTGCAACCACCTCCTGCCGATGCAGCGGCGGCTGCGCTGCGCCGCCGGGCGGCGCGCCGGCGCGCCGCTTGCTCGGCCGCTTGAGTGAGCGGCCCTCGCCCGCGGCGCCACCGTGGCCGCCAACAGTGTGGTGCCCGCGCTGCTGCTGCTCTGCGCCTCCGCCTTGATGAAGATACTCCTCCACCATCTCTATGCAGATTCCCGGCGCCCCCTCGCCTTCCTGCCGCCGCCCCAGCGCCCCTGCGCCTGCCGCGCCCTCGCGGTCGCCCGCGCTCCGCGGCCGCGCGCGGCCGGCGCGGAGCTGGGGCGCCGCGCCGGGCGGCCGCTGCAGCACCAACCGGCCAGTCGCCAGCTGCACCAGGTCCACGATCCGCGCCCCCTCGCCGCCGCCGCCGCTGCCGCTGCCATCTGCGGGGCCGGCCGCGCCGGCGCCCGCCTGATGCGCCAAGCCAGCCGGCCATGCGCCAGGCGCGCCCTCTGCCTGTGCAGCGAGCTGCCGCCAGAGCTCCTGGGCTGTCAGGCCCTGAACAGGACGCAGCAGGAAGCAGGCGCAGGCGCCGGCACAAGGGTCAAAGCCAGATTCAAGATTGGCTGGGGCTGGGTAGGTCCCAACTCGCCAAAGTGGCAGAACGAATGTCAAGAGGGTTTCCGCCGTGTGGGTGCAATGCAGATGCAACCAGCTGCAGCTGCGGATGACCAGTAAGCTTCAGGAGCGCGCACCTCAAACTCTACCGCGCTGCGCGTGGGAGCGCGCACCTCAAACTCTACCGCGCTGCGCGTGGCGACGCGCATGAACCTGCACCGCTTTGCTGCCCGCGGCTCGTCGCCAGCCCCTGCAGCTGCTGGCCCGGCGTCGGGCGCGGCCTCGCCCTCGGCACCTGCAGCCGGCGGCTCCGCCAGGCCCATGCCTCCCGCAAGCTGTTGCGCCAGGTCGGCGGCTCGGCGATGGCGGGTAGTCGCCTCGAGCACTGCGGTTGGAAGCGCAGTACGCGCGTGCGTTTTGCGCCAAAGCGCACGAGACATCACAGCAACCCCCTGCAGCTTCGCGAATCGCAATAACATGCAAAGATGAAACTCCGCCTCACCGAGCTCGGGACATGCGGCCTCATCCCTTTGACGCTTCACACGCACGATCGCTGATCTGAGCGCCATATCTGCGGCGCTCGTTGCGCTTAAGATAGAGCTGTATAAGCGCTAACCATTTCAACATCGTCCAATGATAATCAAGTACGTCAGGTGCTGCTTTCAGCGGCATGCATGTCGACAGGTTTGGATGCTGCAAGCGAGGGTCACAGCTGGCAGTTGTGCGCGTGCAGCTATGTATGCATGCCGCTCCTGCAACCACAGCATCTGGCCACTTACATGCTTCTTTACATACCTGTTGTGCCATTCAACGTGCCCTGGGTCGCAAAAACGCGCCTGATCAAGTTCTTGTGCGCATGTCGGAAGAGTCGTCCGCCGCATGACCCCCCCCCTCCCGGCCACTACCACACGCACCCCGGCCACCCTCGACACCTCCCCCAAACGCCTCCCACACGCGCAAAGTCCCGACCATCAGCGCCTTGGCGGGCTCTTGCCGCCCGCCTTGAACTGGGAGCAATTTGCCCGGTACCGCTCCGCCGCCGCCGCCGCCTCCCCCAGGGTGTCCCGGCTGAAGTCCTTGCTAGGGCGGATAGCCACCAGTCTCTGATACAGGGCCAAATTCTGCGCCGCCACCGCCGCCGCCGCCCTGCGCCGGTTGACCGCCGCGCTCGCCGTGTTGCAGGGCTCCGCCTTGCCGAGGCCCTTGCGCCAGGCCGGCTCCTGCCGGCTGATCTCGGTCAAACGTTTGACCAGCAGCTCGTTGTCGTGGGAGATCTTCAGGAGGCGGTTGTTGCTGTGGCTGTAGTCAGGGCGCTTGTGGGGTGCGGCCTAGGGGAGGGGCGCAGCGCAAAAACATGGTGGGCGTTGGGTTCTTGCTCTCACGCTGATGGAATGCTCTAGCAACACGCAAACAAGCATGCGTGTCGGCGACTGTCGCGGCAGGGAAATGCTTGGAAGCAGGAGCCCTGGTGTGGGAGGGGCTGGGAGCTACTTGTCGAGCAGAGTGCAATCTGTTGGAGAGGGAACGCAGCTATCAGCCCTTACCTGGGCTACATACGGGGGCCCCGAGAACGTCAGGTGGAGGGTGCGCCTGTGATTGAGAAACCAGTCAAGGCCGTCAGGGAGGCCCTGGTGAAGCCGCCTTCCTGTGCCCCGAGCGCCACCACGCAAGCCGCTGCGCGCGCTCACGCCTGAGCTGGGTGGCATCCGCCGGACACGGTCGGGCCGCTTGCAGTGGTGCGCGGGACACACCAGATCCATCCGGCCGCCGTGACAAATCACCATGCAGACAAAGGCCCGTGCAGATGGCCACCCCTCTGCCTCACCCTGGGCTGGTTGCACCCCTACGCCTTGTTGGAGAGGCGCCCGCGTCCATGCGCAGCCGGGCCGCCTCGGCGCTCCCGCCTCCAAGGCTGTGATGCGGCTCGTAAGACCCCTGATCCTGCTCGTGCTCCTGCTCCTGCTCCTGCTCCTGTTGCTGCCCCCGCTCCTGCTCGTGCTCTGCCGCCGCTGCTGCCGCGGCGGCGGCGTCTGCCGCAGCGGCCAGGGCCGCCATCAGCGCTTCAAGAGCCTCCGCCTCGGCATCACCGCCTGCACCACGGGACCCCGCCAACGCCTGCGGGGCAGCGTCCGCACAAATGCAAACGTGGCTGCGGTTGAGGGGCGAGTGCGCTCCATCCGCCTGAAGCCTGTAAACCCCACGAGGGGCACAAGTGCTCACACCCATGCTTTGACACAATCATCTGCCCGCATCCTGCCGCACCACATGCCCGCTCATGAGCTTTGAAATCCGTGGCGCAGCGCCAGCGCACGCCTCCTTCCCTAGTCCCACGCCCCGATCAAGCGCCCCCCACCCGTCGGGCGTCCTCTATGGCGGCAACCATCTCGGGTGTCAGCATCGCCCTCAGAGTGACTGCGTCACGCAGCATTGCCTCCACCTAGATCCGCATGTTGTGCACGCAGGAGGTGGGGTGGCAGGCACCAGGGCTGGAATAAAGCGACCACCGGCCCCTAAGTCCTTGGCACTGCCGGCAAGCAGCATCATGGGCGCAAGAAGCATGTGTTGCCTGGGCCCGGGGCCCCACGCGCCCCACAACCCAAGGCGGCTCGGCGGATGCGTGCGGGCGGCTGCCGCCAGGCCGGGCATGGAGGCGCGCCTCACCTGGGGGTTGGCCGCCACCAGCGCGGCGGCGGCCGGGTTGGCCGCGAGCGCAGCGTCGACGGCGCCGCGGCCGGCGGAGACGGCGGACACCAGCAGGTCGACCAGCGTGGGGGAGGGCGCCAGGGCGGCGGCTGGCACCTGGAAATGGTGTGGGGCGCGGCGCAAGGGTGCGTGGGGGATTTAAAATCAGCCACGAACGCCCCCGCCGTGCGCCCCTCCATTGGCAAGGAAGCAGGGTCGGTGTGTGCAAAGTGGATGCCGAGTCGGCGCGCAGGGGGGATCACCGTGATGCGACCCTGCCACAGCCAGTTTTTCTCCATGAGCCCACCTCGGTCTTCTCACTCTCCTCGTGACCCGGAGCCGCTGGCTCCTCCTCCTCGTCCTCCTCGCCCTCATGAACAGATTGCGGCCCCATGAGCGCGGCCGACTCTCCCGCACGCACTTCCGTGTTGCTCACGGCGTGCGGCGCAGAGCTAACGCTGGCCTCAGACGCGGCTCCGCCGCGCGGCAGGGGTGCTTGCATGGCCGCGGCGCCGCCCGCCGCAGAGCTAGTGTGATGCGAGGTCGCCTCGGTCACCTCGCGGCCGCCGGTGGCGCTCTGCCGGGCGGACGTGCCCTGCGGCTTGGGGTGATCCGGCTCAGCCTCTCCCACCTGCTGCTTGACCTCCTCCTCATGCTGCTGGTCCCCCTGCTCCACCTCCTCCTCCCCCTCCTCCTCCTCCTCCTCCTGCTGCTGCTGCTGCTGCTGCTGCTGCTGCTGCTGCTGCTGCTCCTCCTCTTGCTGCTGCACCTGCTCGTCGTGCTCGTGGTCGCCTGGCTCCTTCTGCTCCTCCTCCCTCTCCTCCTGGTGCACAAGGTCCTGCTCATCCCGCCCAGCCACGTGCTGCTGGTCTGGCTGATCTTTTGCACTGGAGTGCTCTTCCGTCGCCTCCGGCTCGTCCCCGTGGTCTTGCTGCCCCGCAGCAACCATGGGTGCTGTGGCGCCGTGGCGGGCAGATATGCTGCTGCCGACCGCAGACACATCCCCCTCCGGCTGTGTCGTCCCAGACTGCTCCGCCGCAGTCAGGGCTGTTGCGCCCGCAGACGCTTGCTCTCCTGGGCCCGACGGCTCCGCCTCTGCCTCAGGTGCGGGGGCAGGCCCATCGTTTTGGTGGTGCAGCTGCTCGTCTGCCGGAGACGCGTGCGCCGTGCCCTCACCCTCGAATTCCTCTTCATACTCCACATCCTGATAAAGAGGAGTCGATTGTAACAGCAGCAGCTTTCTCAGAGCTGTCTGAACACTACCCGTCATCTGGGTTGCGCCCCCTGCTTTTGCACTCGCAAGCGCACCAAACCGCCCCCGCATCACCTGCTGGCTGCCCTCTTCCGCGGGCACCGCCACGCCCATGTGAGGAGGGGTGTGCAGCTCTTCAGGCTGTTTTTCCACCTCGTGAAGTGCAGACTCATCGATCCCCGACTCGTGGTGTGTGCTAGGCTCGTTCATGGCCGGACTGGAAGACGCAAAATCTTTGCTTGTGTAAATTATACTGAATAACATGTGTCAATGGTTCTCGAAAACATGTCATACGCTCCTCACGATGATAAACATGGTCAAACGTCAAACTTCGAAGTGAATATACAGTATGCAACTTTTGGATCCATTGCGTCCCTAGCCTATATCATCAACTTGCATACTATTGAACATATCATTTGTCAGGACACCCAGCGTGCGCGACATCCGCGGTAAGTGATGCACACCCCGCGCGTTGCATGCAACTCTCGTGTTCGGGCTAATGACCCTTTTGACGACAAGCGCCAACGCCATTGCTGCCCGCCGCAAGCTAGGCAACACTGCAGTTTGGCCTGTACGGCATATGATCTAGATCTCAGGAATTGTGTCAGGCAAATCTGGACCACGGTCGAGTCGTGCAGGCCCACACAGATCTGCACACGCGCAATGAGTGACGGCCTCTGTCGCCAACATGCGCCGCTGCTGGTTATCAATGGGATGCACAAATACAATCTATACGTGGCGTAGACCAGCAGCGCCAGAGGTGGCTCAAAGGTTGTGACCTGCTTGGGTTCGATCGTCCAAGGCAAAACATTCTGCTGTGCTCTGATCAGGTTGTTACCCTCAGCTCATCCAGTCAGAGCAAGCTCATGTCCGTCTGGCAGCCCAGCGCCGCGCCCTGGCAAGGAGCTCTGCAGCGGTGTTGCGACTCGGCTGCCCCTCACAAACAGCGTCTCCATGAGCTGAAAGGCTGATTGGGACTTGGGCCCCACCTGCATGCCAAACGAGAAGGTGTGGAATTTCATTGGTCAGAGGCGATCTTGGCTTGGATGTGCCAGGGTACACGCGTGACCAGGGCGTGTCGGTGTGATCAGGGCTATCAGTGACTAGAGGAAGTCGTGTGGCCAAATGCGCGCGGCCGACGCCGCCCCGCAAGCGACGCAAGCCGGCAGCACCCCCGCGAGCGAACGGCTGGGAACGCAGAGATTCTGAAGGCGCGCGGCCAGACCGCCGCGTGGATTGAATTGCATGCCTGCCCTCCTCAGGTCCGGCAAACTTCTCACCCAGAAGACCTTGCCACAGCCGCTGCAGTCATAGAACTCCTCAACCTGGCCAGGGCAGGGGTGTGAGAGCAAAGAACAGAAGTCAGCATGTTGAGAGATAGCTTTATTGACAGGATCATTAGGTGATCGATGGTAATATGGTGCTTTATGACAACATGTCATACAGGTGGCGCTGCCCAAAGCACGAACAAGCGCATCTACATGCGCTCGACGCAGCACTCAGGAAGGCTGCATCAAGCTAGCATGCTTCTGCTGCAAAGGAACAGCATGCGACAGCGCGCGGCCGCCTCAAGCTCCGCCCGCAGGATGGCTCCCTACCAGATCAAATATCCGCTCCGGCACCCTCGAGCGCGCCGCCTCCTTGGGCTGCACCAGCTGCAGCGCCGGCGTGTTGCAGCTGCTGCAGCGGGTCATAACGGTGTCGGGATCCCACCTGCCAATTGCAAGGCAAAACGTTAGAGAGCAGCAGCGACAGCAGCAGCAGCAGCAGCAGCAGCAGCAGCAGCAGCAGCAGCAGCAGCAGCAGCAGCAGCAGCAGCAGCAGCAGCAGCAGCAGCAGCAGCAGCAGCAGCAGGTCGGCAATTACGGGTGCCCGAAGGTGCCATGTGACTAGGACCCGGCGTGACCAACGCAAACAAATCCTGCTGCAGGGCGCGCAAAAAACCCGCACGCGGCTCCAATGGGCACCGACGCATGCGCCGCTGCCTTCAGCCATAGGGAGGTTGGTTGGTTGGTGGACCCAATGGCCGTGTCTCGCCGACGGCCTGCGGACGGCCGGCGGCGGCTCCTCCCGGCTGCGTGGGCGCGCGAGCGGCCCCACCCTTCTCACCGTACGCCGAAGTGCCGCGCCACCTCCCTGATTTGCTCCGCGGGGTCGTTGGATGTGAGCAGGTACACCGCCGCCTCCAGGTCGCGGCGGCCTGCCAGCTTGGCGTCACGCGTCAAGAACACGCGGCCCTGCATTGCGCGTGTGTTTGTGTGTGTGTGTGTGTGTCTGTGTGTGTCTGTGTGTTTGTGTGTGTTTGTGTGTGTTTGTGTGTGTTTGTGTGTGAGTGTGTTGCGTGCAATGAGGTACGCAAACGCCTGCTTTGTCCAATTGACAGCTGCGGACCCAACGCACGCCGAAACGGGCTGAATGCGCCATCGCCCATCCCCCCCCCTGCTACCTCCCACACCCTCAGAGCCCAGAGTGCACCTGCTTCACGCCCGCATCCGCGATGCGCGCTAGCAGCGCACGCAGCTCGTCAGCCGTCGTCCTGCTCGCGCCGGCCGCCGTCCCCGCCCCGGCCCCGGCTGCGGTCCCGTCGCGTCCGCCGCCGCCGCCGCCGCCGCTGCTGCCTCGCGCCTGCCCACCATCGGCGCCTCCGCCGCCTCTGCTGGCGCTGCCGCTGGCGCCGCCGCCGACGTCACCGATGACGTCACTGCCGGCGTCACCGGCGTAACCAGGCGCGAATCTGCCCGCCGAGCGCTCCAGCAGCTCCGAGTCGACCCCCAGGCAGCGCAGCCAACGGCAGAGGCGGCCGAGCATCCCATCGCACAGGAAGGCGAGCTATGAGGGGCGGATGGAGGAGGGATGCGCGATTGCGACGGAGCAGACGTTATGGGGGCTGCTCGGATGGCCTCCAGGCATGGCTGGGTCGGCTCGTGCAGATCAAGGCGAGGACGTCGCAACGCGCTGCGCCCTGTTACTCAAAGGCCCTGAGCCTTAAGGGGATGGCTGCAGAAGTGTGCCGCGAAACGGCACGACCCCGCCGGTGCCGAGCGTCCCGCACCTCCCCTTGCCGCCTGGTTGGCGCGGGCCCCTCCTCCTGTCCCCCCTCTTGGCCCAAGCCCGCCGCCCCGCCCGCTGCTGCCGGCGCGCCGCCGCCGCCCGCCCTTGCAGCCGGCAGACCGCCCGCGCCGCCGCCGGCGGCGGCGACGTCGGCCTCGTGTCCACCGCTCAGCCGCATGATCTGGCTGTGCCGCAGCAGCAGCGCCGCCCAAGGCACGCCCGCGCCGCAGCGCAGTAGCGGCTCCTCCCCATCCTCCCCATCCTCCTGTGAATTAGGCCCTGCCCCCTCACCGCTGCTGGCGCTCGTTCCTGGCACCGCCGACGGCTCCTCGCCGCAGCCAGCGCCGGACTCGGCGCACCCACTGCTGCTGCTGCTGCTGCTACTACTGCTGCTGCTGCTGCTGCTTGTTCTTCTGCTGCTTCTACTGCAGCTGGTGTTGGTGATGCTGGTGCTGCTGCGAGCGGCGGCTGCGGCCGCCACCGGGCGTCCAGTGGTGCGCAGGCGCCGGTCAATAAGAACCTGGACACGCCGCGGGTCGTGGCTGATCGGGGGCACCGTACCTGCAAAATCGCCATAGCGTTGGCAGGGGCGGCCACACAGGGGGCGACTAGAACAGGAAAAACGATTGACGCGGCGGCCGATGCCCAAAGGGGCGCGCTCGGCCGCTTGAATGTGGGGCGATGGAAGGCCGTCTCGACGCTGTCTGCGCCAGGCGTGCTGAACACAGGATTATAAATACACAGGGGGCGAGCGCCAGGCGCATGCAGTACGCAGACGCCCAACCCGGTCAAAGCACGAGCAGAGAGCGGCGGCTCTCTGTGGCCGCTGGGCGGCCCAGCGGCCCCACCTGGCACGAACCCGTAAATGTCGAATAGCTCCTGCTCCGAGGCGAAGCGCACCGCCTTGCGCGGCGCGCTCACGCAAGACGCAAGCTGCACGGGGCGGTGCGGTGGGCGGCAGCGGGGGCGGCAGTAACGTTGGGTCGGACGATGCTGGGAGGGGAGCAGCACGGGCGCGCAGTTGGCGGGTTTTGCACCCTGCAGAACGGCGGCCCCTCCGACGTTTCGCGAGCAGCGCGCGTATTCACGCAACCCGCGGCAGCGTGCAGCCCCTTGGGGGCGCGGCCACCTGCTTAAGCGCGCCAGAGACGCGGCCGCCCGCCTTAACGCCGCCTGCGCCGCGGGCGCCTGGCCGGGCGCCCGCCGCCCGCCGCGCCGCACGGCGGCTGCGTCCCCAGGGGCTTGCCCCTGGGGCGACCGCGGGGCGCCAGGCAGCGGGCGCCGCGGCCAGGCCGCGCCGTGCGTCGGCGGGTCTCGCGAGATCACTCTAGATCTGGGGTCACGAGATCTCAGATCATCGGTGCCTGCCTTGTGCATGTCGATCTTGTGGTCCCCCCGGGTCACCACAATCCAGGGCTGGCCGCCCGCCATCACGCCCATGCTCTTGGCGATGCGGTGCGGCGGGACGGCCAGGGCCGCGGCCGCGGCGGCGCCTGCGATGGTTTTGGGCCCAAGGTTGAGCGAGCAGAGGGTGGCTTGGGCTTTGAATAAAGCCAGGATGCCGTTAAAGCTGGGCGGATCGTCGTCTGTGGCCAAGAGCCCAAGAGCGACACAGCCTTGGACTCGAAAGACGGGGCAGCGCCCGCGCCGCCGTCCTGGCCTATGGCTGACGGCCCCGGTCGCGATCCCGCCCGCACCCACCGCCGTCGTCGATGCGCACAAACGCCGCCTCGAGCGCATGACGCCGCAGGAACGACAGCACGCGCGGCTCGCCGCCGCAGCCGCCGCTGCTGTCACCGCTGTCGGCACCGCTATCGTCGGCACATGGACCCACCGACAGCGCCATCACCGCGCGCGCCGCGCCGCCGAGGCCCGAAAAGCCGCCTCCCTGGGCGGCTGCCGCTGCCGGTGCCGCTCCCGCATCCGCCGCCGTCGCGCTGGTGGACGCGACGGCGTCCAAGGAAGAGATGGGTGCCTCTGTCGTCGCCACGCCGTTCGAGCCGCCGCCCCCCCTTCCTCTTTGGCGGCCGCCCTGCAGCCGCGCGCGCCGTTTTGGTTGGTCCGTGAGTGTGACTACAACAATTTAGGGATCAGAATGCAGGGCGACGGTCTTTGCAAGTGCCAATCAGAGCCATGATGTAGATGACTCGTCAACCCCGTGGACACACCCGAAGCGCGTAATCGGCGCACAGCCGCGCGCGCGCGCGCGAGGGCGGCATGCGGGCGTGGATAAACACCCTTACAACCAAGCGCCGAGCGCGATCCACGCAGCAGCGGCTTCCATCAGACTGCCAGGAGCACCGCACCCCCCAGCCCGGCCGTATCGCAGCCCCTGGCTACGACCCCAGAGTGACTGCCCACGACGCGCCCCTTGCAGCCCGACAGCCATCCAGAGCGCCTGCACAGCTCCCCTAGCAAACTCCCGAACCCTGCAGCGCTGCCTTGTGACATGACCCCTGGATAAACCCTAAACGATAAACCCTAAACCCTAAACCATAACCCCTGGATAAGGGACGACACTTCCCAAAACCCCCGGCCACGTATTCTTACTTCAGCCGGCCCCGGCTCGCACCCGAAAAGCGCCCGTGTGCTGCGTGATCAGCGCCGCTGCGCCGCCCCCCAGGCCGTCTTCCAGGCGCTCCAGCAGCAGCACCAGGCTGTGGGCGTCCAGGGCCGCGTACGCCACCTGGCGCGGCGTCAGCGGCCGCGCCTCCCCTGGGGTGACGGGGGCAAGGGGTTTCGAGTGTGTGATTTGATTTAAGGGCGGGGGAAAAGTGGGGATGGGGATGGGGAGGAGGAGCAGGTGGGAGTTGTGAGGGGTGATTGCGTTTTTGGCAGCGCAGCGGGCGGGAGCAAGCTGTTTGAAATGGGGGCACGTGTTAGCTCGACAAGACGCTCGGGCGTGTGCAGATTGCACGCGCGAGGGATGACGCCTGCGTCGACTGGCTCAGACGCAGGTGCGCATCGGCAGGCTGTGCGCGCAAGCCGTCGCCCCTCTTGGTCCAAATCCACAAGCCGCACCCATCCACGAGACCGCGGAGAGCCCCCCCCCCCCC